GCTACCTATGGAAAAATTGTGTTTTTTTTTAATGTGTGGCTGTTTACACTTTCTAGTTAAAGCAATTATCCCTTCAATAATACATTTTATTAACTTAAACATAGGAACTGTACTTTATAATGCTGTTATGGGTAAAAGCACACACCCAAATGGAACCTGGGAGTAACCTGGGAGTAAATATTGGGGTCTTTCTAGCGGTTCTCCATGCTGGTAAATCTACGCTGGGGCCGGGTGTACTTGGATCCCGCAGAAGAGCTCCTCTTGAACAGACAGAAAACCAGCAGATTTTAGCACAAAAATGCTGAACCAGCGAAACATGGTTTCCTACCAAATTTAAAATTGGAATCCAAAAATACATTATTTCAAATCACCCCAAATATCCCCCCTCCCCCACCCAAAAAAGAAAAACATAAAAAATGAAAACCTTGCTGTGATCCATTCTTATGACGGTGGGTGGGGGGATGCAAACCCCTCCTGGTTTATTTCTGCCTTGGTTGTGAATGGTCTTATTTCTGCCATGGTCCCTTTTATTTTGCACAGAGGTTGATATCGGTCTTCAGCTGAGTGACAATAATGACACAGAAATTAATCAAGCTGCTAATTTCAGGCCTGTTGCATTTTCCACGCAGAGCGCTGCCCTCTTCCTGTCTGAGTAATATTGACTTCCAGAGAGACTGTGTGTGTGTGTGTGTGTGTGTGTGTGTGTGTGTGTGTGTGTGTGTGTGTGTGTGTGTCTGCACGCGCGCACATGTTGGTGGTGTTGTGTTTTACTAAGAGAGCAGCTGGAGGTTTGAGTCTCCCATCCACTGGATTATGCTTGTATTGTAACAGCATCTAATAATGATATGATAAGATCGCACATCCTGTAGTAACTGTGCTGGGTTTCAGCAGAGAGAGAAAAGAGATTAAAGGGGTGGGAGGAGAGAGGCAAACAGTGGAAATTCTAGCCCTAGAATGAAATCTCCTCATCATTTACAGTTGTCATGGAGGCAGTGGTGGGTTACAGGCGGTACGCCCCGGTACGGGCGTACCTGTGCCTGCCAGGAGCACTGGGTACCGTTCTGGTACGGTGCTCCAGAGTGCCCATCCGCTCATCTGAGCTCCTCACCTGTATTTGAGCTCTTTGGCGCTTCCACGCATGCACACGGCGCGTACAGCACCTGCACGACGCTCCACCGAGCAGCTGGAGCGTCGTGGAGGTAAGGATGCATGCATGTGGGGGACGCCGGGCCCCGTTGCACCATAACGGTTGCAATGGGATCTGGAATCCACCACTGCATGGAGGGGCTCCGTGGCGTTTTCAGTTGTAGCAGCCAGGTATATTCATACAGGCTTCCTTTCCAGCGGAGCTTCACCGCAATGTCTGGATGCTGCAGGGCCATCCTCCCATTGCGTCTGCCCATTCCCCATCGCTCCAATCCCCATCTACCTGGGACCAGCCAGGCAAGGGACCCTCGGCCTTTCCCGGGGGGGGGGGATGCTGCAGCCCACCCTTGGCGATGACCGCAAAAGAGGCTGCAGGATTTCTGGGGCTGCTGGGGCCAAATCAGAAGATGCCAGTGGGGAAAGGTTTGTGGACAGGTCTGGGAAGAGGGATCCTGGACCCCCAAGGGGGCTGCCGTGATCGTGCTCGTGCTGGGCTGCTGATTTATCAGCCGAATATGAAGTTTTCAAAGAGGCTGCAGCACGTTCCCATGGCAACGCGAGTCAAACAATCTTTTCTGCAGCGCTAACACATCTTGCTGCAAAAAAAATGTGTTTTGACTAAATCTGATTCTTTAAATATTTAACATATGGCAGAGAAGAGATAAATATTGCTCTGCAAGCAACTGAGCCTCCCCCCCACCTCTGCTTCTTCAGGAAGAGCTTGGAGCAGGAGGGGCGGTCCCGTCCCCCCCGCCCCCCTTTCAGCCTTGTTTTACTCCTTGTTTCACTACATAAACAGTAACCATAATCTTACCGCGGGGGGTGGGGGAGTATTTGGCAATGTCCCTGCTATTTTGCTAAGCCTACATAGAGGGGAAATTTCCCAGTTTCAGCAGCTGTAACATGTTTAAACTCAGTTTGTAATGGGATCTGAAGAGCCTTTTCCCCTGGGCTGGGCCTCCTTTGGAGTGGAGGGGGGGGGGCAGAGGCTGGGCTCAACAGCCTCCCCCTCCCTGTCTTGGCCCTGGCAGAGCATGCTCAGCTAATGACTCTGGTTTCTAATAGAGCATGAAGTAGGTTTATATTTAACATCAATTATGCTGCACTTTATTAAAATCTGAAATGCTATCATTGTGAAGAAGCGAATCCCAGCTCTCTCTGGGTTGGGACATCTAAATCTAAACCACGCGGTCTGCAGTGGATTCTGGAACAGCCCAGAAAGCAAAATTTGCATTTGAACAAAAGCATTTTTTACTTTGAATTCATAGATTAAACTATAATTAAAGCCGTCTGATATTTGAACAGATTAATGTTGTTTTTAAAGCCAAGTATATTTTTTTCACAGATGCCTTAAAAACATGTTTGCCATATAAAAGTTCCCATTTTATTCCCACCATGAGTAATTCATTAATCATGTTGAATGCATTATAAAAACTTTAATCACAGATGCTGAAACCCAGATAGTCAGTGTAACCCTTTCGTTAGCACGAAGGAACTCTTCTTTTTTTAGATCAAGAGCCACACTGGGGAAGGGGGAAAATAGCACTGAGGGTTTTTAAAATTTATTTTCTAAAAGAAAGAATGGGACCATTCAGAAGGTAGGGATTTAAAAATAAAATAAAAACTTTGGGTTTTTACCCAGTCTTTCTCCTCTTGCGCTTTCCCTCAATTAAAGAGGGGTCCCTCACCTGACCCTGCATCCCCACAGCCTTCCTCCGTTTTCTAGAACACAAATAACTCTTCTGCTGATGAAAAATTCAGTGCCCCAACTTTTATGGGTGGGGATCAGTGGTGGGTTTCAAAAATTGTTCGAACCTACTCTGTGGGTGTGGCCTCCTTTGTGGGAGTGGCTTGCCACCCATGTGACCGGATGGGAG